TATATATAAATTAAGTGTCACGTTGTTTGTCCGCAATGGATTTCTAAACTACTGAATCGATTTAAATAAAATTTTGCACACTGTGTGCAATTACATTCAACTTGAAAGATAGGATAATTTATAATCACAATTTATAATTCGCAATATTATTTTATTGCGAATTATTTTGTTGATTTATTAATAAAGAGTCATGATTATCTTTGATTAGTATATATATAAATATATATATATATATAAATTATTTATATAAATTTATAGATACTTATTAAAAACAAAAACAGAATAAGAAAACAAAACAAAACAAAACAAAAAAAAACATTTCTAAACACATTAAAAATAGAATACAACAAGAAGAAGAAGAAAAAAAAAATAACAAAAAAAAGATGTCTATTAAATGTCTATATATTAAACTACTTATTAATTAGAGCAAAACAAAACAAAAAATAATATTCTTATATATATATATATACATATACACAGATATACATGTATATATATCTATCAGATAAAACACATATACATGATAAACTAATTACAATGTAATAAGAGAATATAATTGACTGAAGAAAAAAGATTATAAAAGAAAAAAATTAAAAAATGAAATAGGGGAATCATCTCTCTCTCTCTCTCTCTCTCTCTCTCTCTCTATCTCATTCTCTCTCTCTCTCTGTCTCTTTCTCTCTCTCCCGATATTATTAACTCTCGTAACTTAATGCTCCGATTGAAATCCGATAAAAGTAGGAAAAAAAAAGAAAAAAAAGAAAGAAGAATAAAAAGATCGTTCAAAATCAAAGTAATCAAACACACACACACACAAATCACAAACATACTTAACCATGCATACACACACATACACACAAACAAACACAAACAACAAACAGAGATATACACCAACATAGTCTTCCAAAAGAGACATGCACGCAAACATAAATATACGATTTGTATCTTGCACTTTTATCTTATCACTTGTGTCAAACACACAACATACATACATACATACATACATTGCACCATATATACATACACACACATACACAAATAATACCATAAGCTTGGGGGATATACTTTGTCATTCTCATTCGCAGTTACCATTCTCTCTTTACCTCTACACTTACATAAGTATAAGTATACTTATCCTATACTTATGTAAGTAAAAGGGTTCATTTAAATAAATTTCGTATTCATCAAACATCTCGGTAGAAAAAGAAAGAAGGTTAATAACCTTCAAACGAAACGTCATACTATCTTCTCTATCTATCTCTATTCCTGTCTCTTTCTCTTTCTCTTTCTCATTCTATCTCACTTTCTCTCTCTCTCTCTCTCTCTCTCTCTCTCCCTACTTGGTGATATGCATAGGAGACGTTAAAACGCGGCGTAATACAATCAATGTGTACCTCCTACGTACATAATACAAACAAACACATATTATATGACATACATATATAAACATATATATATATATATATATATATATATATATATATATATATATTCTTACACTTAGAAAAAGACAAAATGATATTTTGTCAATGATAATGAAAATATGTTTAAATAATCAATACCAAATAACAGAAGATTCTTTATTGATAAACGTACACGTACATGAATGAAACACACACACATATATATATACACGTATATAAATACATTAACATATATTCTACAGATTTTAATATGTATTACGGACTCCCTTTTTCGACGGCCATTTAAACGCGCGATTTAATAATAATTGCTTCAAGTGCCATACATACATATATATATATTTATATATATATGTATGTATGTATAACTCATGTCTCACTCTCTCTCTTTCTCTTTCTTTCTCTCTCTCGCTCTCTCTCTCTCTCTCTTTCTATCTTTTACTCTCTCTTTGTATTTACATACATATATACATACATATATGTATATATCGATACAATAATAAAAGGATGGTTTGAAAAGTTTAGAGCTTCGAAAAAGGAACTTATATTTTGATTGTTTTGTTTAACTCGTTGCGTCACAAAATTTCAGATAATAAAATAATCCTAATGTTGTTGCATAGAAAAATTGGATTACATTTTAAATGAAATTAATATTGGTAGATATTTTTTTTGTATTAATAATAAAAAGGTATTACATAATGTAATAATGTAAAGAACATACAAAAAAAAAAGAAGAGTTAATAACCGATCTTACGTTTTGATATTTGCATCAACTATGATTTTATTGTGTCAAGAGAAAACGAAATGATTTTCTGAACAATCTAATAGAAATGGAAACAATAGGGGAAAAATTTATTGAGAAATATTTGTAAAGAATAGGAATTTGGTTTTGTTTTTGTTTTTTTTTTTTTTTAGGAGATGAATATGAAATATCAAGTGATTGGAATCATAGGAAAAATAGATAACGGAAGATAATTAGATGAATAAATAAAAAAAAAAAACAAAGTCATTATTAACATAAGGTGCTTTTAGCTTTTGTATTACTAAACGAAAAAGAAAGAAAAAAAAAGATAGACAAGGATAAAAAAAAACATTCGCTGCGCATAATTAACA